AAGACGAGATCTAATCTCGAGACTAGAGCGCTTAGCAGTACAACGGGAGAACAAGTCAGCGGGCGAGAACAGAGCAGGATTTAGAGATTGAGGGGAAAAGTGATTTTTTTTTAAAGCATGTGTTTCAAACTGAGAGTGGGAACAAATGCATTTCCACTAAAGAGTGAGGAGCGTTTCCTAGGGACTCTCTTATTTTGTTTGGAATATGGTTTTGAGACACAGTGTTCAAAGCAGAGCAAAGAAAGTTGGGCCCCAGGAACCTTGGGTTTTCTTTCAGCTTTGCCGTCACCTCACTCTGGGATCTGAAGAGTCACATAGGGCCTCTTGGGTGATTTGTTCTCAGGGCCTGGGGATTCTGATTTTTAGAGGGAGAGAAGGGTGGAAATCTTTTAAAAAGTACGTCATTTTTGTACATAATCTAGATAAAACCTAGATAATCTAGCCACATCTGACCTAGCTGCCTTCCTTTCTTCCTTTGCCCCCTTCCATATCCTTCCAACCCTGGATGCTGCCTGGGTCCTTCAAGCCAAGTCAGGAGGAAAGTGTGTCTGACAATCACTAATGACATCTCAGCATGAATTTGTCAAAAACACATGCATTTGCTTTTTAAAAGGCCTGTTGATGAAGGGTCCCTAAGTAGTGCATCTTTTGTGGTGAAGTGTGAGTAATTCTGGAACATTCCAGAGAGCCTCTGAAGGGACACTGCTGTAGAGATTCTCCTCTGTCCACCTGATGGGTTGTTTGGATATTTGGGTCTTATCAGTAGTTGATCAAGGTACATGTCCATTTATGGAAAAAGTGTGCTTTCCTTCATATTAAAATGTATGTGCCAATACTTGGAGAAATTAACACATCCAACTGGTGATTGCCACTTCTGCTGCCTCGCTATTTTTAGGCAATGGGTCCCTAAGGCCTGTACATTCAGATGACTGTGCCTTGAATCTTACCTCCAAATAACTAACATTTGGTTTTCATTAGTTGTGCTCAACTTTTCACAACAAGCACATATTCTAAAGCTGTGAAGCTATATTTGATTTTCGTAAATGAAAGACTTCAGTGGAGAAATACTTTCATAAATATCACTGGAAATGTTCCATTCCATTCATTTCAAAGTGACAGGCTTATTACTTTGACATCATCATATATTCATTAAGTCCCTGGAAGAATTTAAATAAGACATATACTGTTTCCAACTGGGCCGTAGGCCAGCATACCTTCCCCTCGTTACCAGAGTGTCGTAGTAGGAAGTCCATTTCCGCTGTCTGGAGATGTGTTTTGCCAGTCATCAACTGGGGCTTCCCTACATACGTTATGAAGAATTTAAAGTTAATCTCATTTAATACAGCCATTCAAAGTCATTATAAAAATTTGATCAGAATTTTGATTTGTTTTGCACGAATCATTTTTAGCTTATTTTCTCACAGACATGCTGTTTTCCTCATTTTCTTGAGATATTACACACTAAGGTTAACAAATCTTAGATGCACAGTACAATGAATTTTTACAACTGTATTCATACATCTGTGTAACTACCACTCAGATCAAAACATAGAACATTGCCAAAACCCCAGAAGGCTTTCCTGTGTCTGCTCCCAGTTGACACCCCACCACGGTGACCAGGACCCTGGCATAGATTAGTTGTCAATCTCTCGAACTTTATATAAATGGAATTGTACAGTGTGTGTTCTTTTGGGAATGATATTTTTTCCACTTAACAATATATCTGTGAGATTCATCCAGGTTGTTGCATGTATCAGTTGTTCCTTCTTTTTTATTGCTGTAGTTTTTCATTGTATATACCACGATTTATGCATTTATTGTCTTGTCAATGAACATTTGGGTTGTTTCCAGTTTTAGACTATTATGAGTAATGCTGCAACAAATATTCTCTTCTAAAAGAGCTATTTACACTAATTTTTTGTACTCATTTCTCTTGGGTCATTGAATTTACAGGTCATAGAGTTCATTCATGTTTAGCTTTAGTAAATGGTGCCAAACAGTTTTCTAAAGTGGTGGTACGGGTTTCTACTCCCACAAGCAACATAGGAGAGTGCTTGCTCCACACCCTCATCAACACTTGGTGCTGTCAGTTCTTTAATTCTTATCCATTTAGTGGTATCTCATTGTGGTTTTACTTTGCATTTCTCTGGTTACTAATGGTGTTGATCACCTCTTCATTTGTGGGTTGGCAATTTGGACATTCTCTTTTGTGAAGTGCTTAAGTTTTTTTGCACATTTTCAAAATAGGGTTTTCCATCTTTTTCTTATTGATTGTGAGAGTTCTTTGTATATTCTGGATATGACGCTTTATTGGATATATGAAGTACAATACTCTGGGGCTCCTAGTCTGTGTCTTGCCTTTTCACTCTTTTAATGTCGTCTTTTGATTAATAAAGATTTTAATTTTAATGAAGTCCAATTTATCAATCTTTTATAATTAGTGATTTTTGTGTCCCTCTTTAAGAAATCTTTACTACCCCAGGTTTGTGAAGATTTTATGTTTTTCTGTAGTCCTTTATTGTTTTACCTTTCACACTTAGGTCTCAGATCATCTCTAAGTTCTTGTATGATGTGAGGTAAAGGTCAAGGTTCAGTGTTTTTGTGTATGGAGATAGACCATATAGAAAAATATGCTCAAAATAGTTGACTCAGAACCATTTATTGAAAACACCACCCTTTTCTCACTGAAGTGTGGTGGCCCTTTTGTGGTAAATCAGGAGACCGTATGTGAACAGGTCTGTTTTGGGCCTCTCTACTCTGTTCCATTGATCTGTTTATCTGTAGGTGCACCAACACCACATTATAAAAATTCCTGGTATCTGACGGTGTGAATTCTCCAGCTTGTTCTTCAATTTTGCCTTAGCTATTCTAGTTTTTTGGAGTTCCATATAAATTTGAAAATCAGCTTGTCATTTTTCACTCACACACACACACACACAACATGTTGGAATTTTAATTGTTATTTCACTGAATCTAGGGTAAAATTGAGAATTGACATCTTAACAATATTGAGTCTTCCAATCTAAATCCTTGGTTTACCCTTCGGTAATGTAGGATTTAATTTCTCTCAATGATGCTCTCAAGTTTTCAGTGCAGAGAGCTTGATGAGATGCTTGGTTTTTGTAAAAATGATTATGAATTCAGATAAAAAGTTGGTAATGTTTACAAAATATCCAATTTTACTGTTATTTAGGACCTGCAATCATGTTAAGATCTCTGAGATAGGAATTTAGCTACTTAGGAACTTAGCTACTTAGGAGTAGCTAAGTTGTCTCTAAAGTTATTCAGTGCTATAATTTCATTTACGTGTATTGCAGCTTTTAAATCTGAGTCAGTGGTAGCACTCTTTAGAATCTGATTTATTCTCCTGGTTAAGTACATTAAGATGCTCTCCTGTCAGCACCCCTGAAGTCTGTGGTACGTTTGTGAAACAAGTGGCTGAGTTGCTCAGTAGTTGATCTGGAGAATCTGTAGTTTCCACCTTCCACAGAGCAGGTGATGAGTTTGGTTTTAAGCAGTTTATCTCCCCTCTATATTAAAAAGTTTTAGATCATTAAACCCAAACACAAATTTAAGATGTGGAGAATTAGGGTTGTGATTGCATGACGCCAAAATATTTAATCAATTTAGTGTAAGATCTCTCCATTTACATAGTTAACGTTGGCATATTCTAAAAATTGGCTGCAATTTTGTCTGAATTGACTATTATATTCCTAGAATCTATCCTGAATTAGGTTTAAACATACCCCAGATGGTGAAAAATTAATGTATGCATGTATACTACTGCATTAGTGTGTTGTGTTAGTATTGAATATGTAAATTCACTGTAAATGTAGACTAAATTATTTTATTTCTTTGAATATCGTTAAGTGCCTTCACACATAAATAATATTTTTCTCGATGATTTTATCTCATTTTTTCCATTATAGGCCACTTTTTTATGGCAGAGGTCTTCACTTTTTTGCTTTTTAATTTTATTTTAATACCTTCCATCTATGTGGCTGCTTTGGTCAGTTCCAGCTACTCTACAAGAATGCCATAGGCCGGGTGGCTTAAACAACAAAAGTTTATTTCACACAGTTCAGGCAGCTGGGAAGCCTAAGATCAGGGTGCTAGCATGGCCAGGTTCTGGTGAGGGCTCTTTCTGGTTCCCTCACATGACAGAGAGAGAGAAGGGGCTCCTGTCTCTCCTTCCCCTCATAAGGACACCAGTCCCATCATGGGGCTCCACCCCATGACCTCATCCAAAGCTAATTATCTCCCAAAGGCCACCTCCAAATACCATCATACTGTGGATTAAGGTCTCAACATATGAATTTGAGGGGGACACAGTCAGTCCATAGCAGTCCCATTCTGTTCTGAAATTAAATATCACCTGACACCAACACGGGAATCAAAGCTGCGTTAAGTATAGTAGCAGGTCAGTTGTTTTAATAGTAGAATATGAAAATTGAATGATGCTAAAGCTAGCTAATTTCCTAATGTCAAGTATATAGCAACAATTAGAATGTTAGAATAGGAATGATTATAGTAAGAGGAATAGCTAACACTAACAAGCACTCACTGTGTCCAGGCACTGTTCTAAGCACCTCGCATACCTAACCACATGTAATCCTCACAGACACACTGTGCGGTGGGCAATAGTCTCCTCATTCTACGGAAACTTAATAGGATGGTTTAATTTATTTCCATTTTATTTTAAGTTTCTGATTGTATTGTGTGATTCAAATTTATTTGTAAAAAAAGATAGAAAATGTAGTGCAAATCCTCAATACTTTTTTTTATTTAGCAGAAAAACAATGTCCTATACTGAGAACAGAGGGACATCAGTTTACAGGAGACAACAGAGATAAACATGAAGTTCCAGGTAAGCATTATAATCCTTCACAAAGAAGCATTTTGTGTAAAATTATCACCAAACATGTAACATATTGTAGGTGATTCTTTGACGTTGTGATTTAAGATGATAATGTCAATTTAAAACACTAGAAGCAAAGAAGATGGATGATGCAAAAAAAATGCTGAGAGCAGAGTTCTGTATTGTTTAAGCCAAGACCAACAACAACTCAGCCTCTTGGAGAAAAAAAGTTATTTAAAATGATAAAAGTTATATCCATTGTAGAAATTTTGAAAAAAGAAAATTTATGAGAAAGAAAAATCTCACTACCCAAATATAGTCATGATTCTCATTTGGTGTAGAATTCCTGTCTTTCTTTCTCTTTCTCCCTCTCATCCTCCATTCTCTCTCTCTCTGTGTCTCTCTCTCACACAGACACACACACACGAGCACGTGCACACATTAAGTGCACACATAATACGTATCACATTTATGATATGTATATTGTTTTTGAAATCCAAGCATTTCCCCACATCAACATATATTCTTCTAAAGAATGATTTTTTTAAAAGATTGCTTAGATTTCAATTGAACGGCTGTAGTGTGTTTTAATTAACTAATTTTCTGTCTTCAGCCATCAGAGCTGCTACAATGAACTACTCTGATTAATTACTTAGGATAATTTCTGGGTCAAAGCAAATTAATATTTGAGTCTTTTGAAACATATTTCATCCTCTTATATCCTAAAAGGAGAAAAATGAAATCAAGAAATTTTGCTGGTCCCAAACAGCAGGATTTTATTTGAAATAAATCAGTCTACAGATAAGAACAAAAAAAATCCTAGTTAAACATCAACATCTCTGTGAGTTTACCAAATTTAATAAAACTGCTGGATTAAATCATTTGTCACGTTTTACAGGCTTTGATCTAGGAGAGAGCTTTTCTCTGAAACATGCATTTTGTGAAGGTGATAAAACATGTTTCAAATTGGGAAGTGCACTTCTTATTAGAGATACCATGTAAGTAAAATAATAATTTTTCTTTATATTTTCATAATACTATATCATAGCATTATTAGTAAAATAGTAAATCCATAAAATAGAAACTATTTTCTAAGGGGATTCCAAATAATTTGTTTAAAAAATAAAAAATCTCCTCAATAGTGTCATACTTGGATGTTGTGGTAAATTTGCTGTTTGTGTATTTGTTGTTTTTAATAATCTTTGCAACTTGATCTTGTAGTATGGTGTAAATACCATTTACACATACAGGTAGAGGCATAATCTTTAAAGAATAGTAATTAAATACATTTTTGAAGAAATATTATTTATATTTAAAGTAGACATAACCAAAATTAGATTTTACAATGTGAACTTTAAGATATAAGATACAATGTAGACTAGAGACAAAAGACTGATATTCATTATATTTATTTCTACATGATTCATGCATATGGATACGTTTCATGATAAATTAAAATTAAATTAAAAAAAGAACTTAGCCCTCAGGTATTAATTTTATATAGAGTAAGTAGTAAAGAAAAACTGTTTTTCAGTTTTATTTTTGGTCTTGTTACTCATTTCATTTCAAAATGGATTTGCCAAAGGTTTCCTTCATTATCTTTACTGTTCTTCTGCTAATAAACCTGGGATTAAAAGAATCACTTGTCATTTAAATGCTGACAGTTGGTCCACAAGTATACAGGGCAGTCATAATTGCCTATGTGGTGGGCTATATGTAGTTGGCGGATGGATAAAGAGTAATTCAGAAAGCCTGAGTCATCAGGAAGGCAGACACAGCATATATGGTCATGGTGTTTAGTCCTTGAGCCCAAGGCGAACATTCCAGTGTATGAATACACTGCAGTGAAAAAAGCATCAGAATTCTCTTTGGTTTAATATGCAACACAGATGTTTTTGTGTGAAAACATACATGAATGTTTTCACTTTCTGATGGGTAGCCTAATATTTAAGTTACCAGATGGGGTTGTTGAGAATCTCCACATTTGAGTTCTCAAAGGGAAATAGCGTTAATCATCTCGTTGCCTATCCTCAGATGCTCTGTATAAACTAAGTTCCTAACTCACTTTTCCTTTGAGAAGAGTTTCTTTTAGACCTTCTATTTTGTGATACTTTAATTTTAATTATATGGTTCCTTAAAAGCAAACTGCTCATGAATTGGTAAGAAGTGAGAGTGTTCAGGAAGAGTGATTTGATGTCGGGGGTAGAGTGGGAGCTCGTCAGCGGGGCCTTCAGCAGGTGGAACTTTGCAAGACCTGGCTGTCATGGGCAGCTGTTAGATGCATCACGTGCAGGCATTGGACCCTCAGGGCACGGCCGTTCCGTTCTGGATGTTCACATGCAGTCAGGAAAAGTCAATGTGTATCTCACATGTATCTCATGTATATATTGGTTTAGATGTTTCTTAACTGCTAGTAGATAACTTTAATTAATGAATTTAAGAAAGGCAATAAATTCTGTCCCCAAAATTAAGATGCATTTTCTCTCTGCCCTCTTCCTGATGATTTAAAACCCTGTAATTCTGGCCAGGTGGCTAAAGGATTGGAGTAAAATCTTTTAAAATTCACTGGGCCTGTACGTAAGACGACTTAGCTAATTTTAAGTAGTTACATTGGAAAACTCACTGCCACACTTAGGCAATGCTATTCCTATGTGTGGGTAGGTGTGCTAATAAATATTAGGTACGACGTGAAATTTATTTACCGATCTTTGGCTCTAAGTCTCTGACTGACCCCCGGGCAATCAGTGTAAGTGAGTTCTTTGGCTCTGCGCAGCAGAACCCCGGTACCTCCACTACAGGAAACTGGAGGGTATCTGGTTAAGCTGACTAGTGGGTGTCAAGTTGTTTGGCTCATCTCCACTTACATTTCACTCATTGAGCCAAGTGCGCTAGGAGGCTTCTCTGCATGATGCCATTTTGATCTTGCAATGAGACTGGAGTCAAGTTGCAGCTATTTCTATGTTTGTAAATAAGCTGCCTATAGCAGAATTAGCATGGGAAAAGGCAGATGCTATTTTATGTGGAAAATGGGATTCTTTCTGTGCCTGACCTTGTTTTTATTGTTCTGGCATCTTTCAGGTGAGATCTATGAGGGAGAGATCTAACGAGAGTGTTGGTCAGGTATCTATTGGGCACACTGAGTGCCTTGAGCCTCTTACTGTGGGATCCCACAGGCTGCTTTTGCCAGAGCCCTCCAAACACACATTGTTGGACACTTAAAGGTGGCATGGGCTCAGGGAACGTCTGAGGGGCTGTATATGTTTGGTTTAATTTCATGCTCATTTCTTCACTACTCCTGGGGATAGCAAATGATAAGTATTTGGGGACTTTGAAAGATTCTGGATGGTATGCTACCTGGTTTTCTAGAATTATCTTTTTAGAAGAAATTTCCTTCGCATCTTATATCTACAAGTATCCCTGGTTATGTGAAAGAAATAATTCATTATTTCTATACATATTGAGAACTATATCCCAGATGATCATACCCTGAGTATCTTTAAATTGTGTTTTGGCAATGATCAGGGCAAAATGGTGATGTTTTGAGAGAAATATACACATAACATACATACTATGGAGCATCTTATTTTCTTGGTATAACATAGTCCTTATCTTTCGTTAGTTGCTTCTATAGAAACATGTTTTAAATAAAAATGTTTTAGTAGTTGAATATTTTAGAAGAGTTGATGAATGTTGAATTTCTATACACTCGTTTCTGAGGGAGCAACACATCCTTATTTTGACTGGCCAATGGGGCAATCAGTCAGTTTTAAATGTACCGGGGAATTGAATTTCCTGATTTGTCATTGGATTCAAGGATGGTAAAGAGCCTTATCTCTCAGGTTCTATGATTGGTAGCTAGAGGCTCTCTGGATACTGTGTTGACAAGGATTCTGAGGCCATATTGGGTTCAGCAGAGTAGAGTGCTATGACCCATTAGCAGAAAGAGAAGGAGGGAGTGCTCACATACATTTCAGTCTGTGGCCTCTCTGATTTAGGATGATTCCTGTGAGCTGGTGGCTTTTGCAACTGCAACAGTTCCTAAGAATTGGGGAAAATTAGGCTAGTGTGAAAAGATAATCAGCACAAATTAACTTTAATAAGATTTTATGATCTTGGATAGTGTAGCTAGACACAGTGGCATAATTGACAGATATGGTCCCCTTAGCTTTTGTTACAAGTAAATAAATCTCCAGTGAAGAGGAATCCTCTCTCTCTCTTTCATTAAATTGGCTGTTGCTTTCTGGAAGCAAGAGCTATTTAGTTTCACAGCTTCACACGAAAAAAAAGAGCTGGTAGAAGATACTCTTATTTGCATTTTATGTTTTTATAAACATAAGAATCCTCAGCAACTAGGAACCCCCAAATTATATATTTGGAAAATGTGTAGTGTTTTTTAGGAGTTTTTCAAGTTGTCTGTACCTTAACAGTTCCCTTGGAAATAATCCTAAATATGGGAAAAACTGTTATGTATATTGCAGCGTGACCTGTACCTTGTCTTTGCTGCTGTTGAATGATGCACCCCTGGGCATGCATTTCTGTACGGACCTTCACACTGCCTCCAGATTTTCACTATTACAAATAACGCTACGCCATACAGGAAAGTTGTTTTTCTCTGTGTTTAGGATCATTTCCATAAGATTGACTTTTCAAAGTGGAATTACCAGTTCATTTTTAGAGATCTTGATGTACACTCCTAATTATGTTCCATCATTGTTTCATCCATCTAGTCTTCATTTTACCCAATGTCTTCAGTAGCATTAGACATTATCATTTTAAAATTTTGTTATTTTTTTTTAACTAAAACTTGTAGCAACTACAAATAAAAGTTGTAGCTTACTCTATAAGTATTTTAGGTGTTCCCCAAATATTTCTGTTCTGCTAAGGGTGAATAAGAGGTAGCATTCAATAAGTCACTGAAACGAATGCAGTCTGGTCTTCATTCAACAAGGATTTATTGAGCTTACTCTGGACTGGGCACTTTACTCGGCTCTGGAATTATACTGGTGAAAGAATATGGGTCTAGTCTTACCTTCCTGGATCCTGCTGGAGAGATACACGGAGCAAGGAAAAGCAATGCTTCCTTCTCTCTTGCCTTGACTTACTGAGATGTATTGCCTCCTATTGTTCAAGCACAGGCTATGGGATTCAAATCTCACCCCTTCCCTCATAATGGCTAGACTCTCTTAAGCATCACACGCAAGGCTGATCGTCAATATTTTTGTTCCTTCCTTCATAAGGGCCAGTTTTCTAACCCACGTTTTATTTTTATTGCTCTTCTTTGGGACCTCTCCAAGTTCTCAAAACCAGTTAAATTCTGAGGCTCAAAATTATCTTCAGAACTCTGGTACTGAATCTTATAATTGCTGAATGTTTTGGGAGGATTACTCCAGAATTCCGTTAAACTATAGAGAATGACTATTTATGCATCCCTTGGGTTTTCATATGGGGCATTCCAACATTTTGCAGATAGGAAGTTTCCCATATAAGGAAATATGACTTAGTTAAAAAGTTGTCCAGCTGTTTTATGAGATTGACTGTTACATGTCATTCTTAAGTCATCACTGTATTTCCTTAATCATAGTTTGGCTTACCAAAAATGAGAGGTAAGTCATTAAGTCATGCATTCTTAACATAAAAAGAAAAGCCTGATAGGTTCACAATTACTGAATTCTTTAAATCATACAATTTACCCAAATTATATATATTAGATGGAACAGAATTTTAAGAGTATCATTATACAGGTTTTAAGAATGAATGGAAATATTTACTTCTCCATCACAAGAACCTATCACAAGAACCTATCGCAAGAACCTATCTTATATTTTTCTAGAAAATTCAGGGATGTTAATATGTTCCAATAACAAATTGCTTTGTATACAAATGGCTACTTGTTGGTTCACAACCATGGGAGTTCTCCAGGTGAAATCTGAAGCTGGCCCCCTACGTGGAGGGCAAGGAAAGAACAAAGAAAGAGGCAGACCACCCCAGATGGGTAGGC